AAAGCATTCTTGGAGCACACCTGCAGCCGCGAAGAATGAGGCATTCCCCAGGAATCTAGTAAACTCAACTTCAGAACGAAGGTTTTTCTCATGAAGACATGCAGAAAGTACCCACGCCAGCTGATATATAGATGCTATATTATCCGCCATCGGTAGATCGGCCGATGAGCAAATGTACGCACACTCGTGTGGACGGTACTCAGACAGCGACCAGTTGCTCCGATGTGGGAAGGAGGCAGATACTCGAGAAGCTTAGATGCGCAACATCTTCATATAGTCATGCAGAGCACCCCAGTATGGGAACAGTACCCAGCGTCGACCCCGCTTTTTATAGACAGTCTAACAGCAGGCATCTTGAGCCACATCCGTTTAAGACATCACGCAAAGCAGTGCTTGCCGCATAGTCTCCTCTATCATGACACCGGTGTTGTGCATGTAACCACTGGACTTTCAGACAGCCCAGCAAGCCAGGACCGTGCTATCTGCAGAAAAAACATGAGAATCAAACAGCACCGCCGCTGCGATAAACCGAACAAGACAGAACGACGAAACTTACCTTGTCGCCACGCTGACAAATGATCAATGATACAAAGTCTGTCAAACCGTGTGAGAAAACTAGGCCGCCTGATAGGCTGGTGGCGTAGATGTGACGACTACGGCGATGTCGCCTTCAGTGAACCTTAATTACAGCAATGTGCAGAAAGATGCGGAAATTCAGAGGTTTACAAGTGAGAATTGTTTCGCGAGATCAGCCAGCATGAACGCGCGCCCGATGTGCCCGGGCGCTGTGTTTATACCTGTCTGCCGCTGCAGACAGAGACATCTACTCGCCGCGTTCGAGTAGCGACACCTGCTCACCGCGATGAGCAGCGCTGCCAACTCATCTCCTGCTCGCCCGTCGGTGTGTCGTCTCGTATTTATTACTATCAGCTCTCATCCTGACCGTCGTCTCCCGCTCACATCATAGTATATAGTTATTTTTCGTCTACCCGCCTTCCCCCCCTTACACATTGGCAGCTACCCGGTATCGCCCTATAGCCTCGCAAACCTCGAATTGACTTGCGTTAGCCGACCGCGGATATACCCGTGGCCGACTGAGCCTCGTTAAAATCGTCGTCGCGCGAGTCAAGGGACTACAAGTGTGCGAAATAAACGGGCGACATTGCGTAAGCGTATCAAACTGGCGTACTGAAGCCTCGTATGCACTTTCGGGGGTCTGTTGTAGGTCTCGAGATAACTTACATGCGGGTTGAGATGCCGCTGTGAGAGGACGTCGATTTGGTGACGAGAGTACGACTTGGAGTTGCGGTCAACTAACTCCTTGAGGATATTTGCATGACCAAAGTATAATTGCCTGACCACTATCCAAATGCGATTCAGTCCGCAATCGCTGGAGCACTGCATGCGAGCCATAGCCATGTTGGCTTATAGTACTCGAGAGATGGAATGGAGAGACGGAGGTGTTAACGGAGCGCATGCCGGGATCACTGACCAGATAAGAGGATGCATGCCACTGCCCAGCTACGAGCCGAGAGGACAGATTTATGTGTGGATTGACGTATATGAAAGCGCGCTGGATAGTACTGGATCCGATGGTCCGCCTCATTCGATGCTGCAAGCTGGGAGGAAAGGAGAGGTTGGAGATGGATGCGCACCGGGTTCCGAATGATGCTCGAGTGATGCACTCTGTCGTGGGACGCTGCATAAGCACGATCCAATGTCAATATCACTGAATCGCCGGAGAAATGGGTCGGTAAGGATCTAGATATACTAATGATACAAGTTATTAAGACTGAATGATTTAGACTGAACTACTGTTGTGATTATGGATAGGATCCATCTCATATACTCGATTCGTTGCTGTCGTACCAGCAAAATTCAAAGACTCTGCAATCCCAAAAACAGTATCCGAGTCGTCTGTACCAAGACCATCCGGCGGACTGGAATCGCGGAGATCCAGCATCAGCCGTGATAACAGCACAGATGTCAATCTAGAAGATGCGTATCGCGATCAATGTAGCGAAGATTAGATCAGCGACAAGACTGACATCGCAGTCCACGTCGACATGGCTTCAATAAACTGAGGGGTGCATATCGCAATGAGATGAAGCACGATGTTAGGCTGATTGGTGACTTACGGCAAGACGACCTATTCCTATTGCAACAACATTGACGATAAAAAGGAACCTAAGCTGAGTGTCCAGAATTGTCGCAACGAAACTAGAGTGAAAGGAAATTACCCAAAATAAATAGCCGCTACCCGCCCTGGATTAACATAATACGCATGTAGACAGCATATGCACGCACTATCCCTCAAAAGAATCATTGATACTACAGCTGGTTGTGTGACTGCAAACACGCTGAGATGTTTGATTCGCCGTGTTCGGTGCCAAGTCAATGCCAAGACAAGCACATCGAATAGCAGGGACGTAACCCTTGCTCCCATCATCCCTGCAGAAGATCGTTACTACTCTCGGAAGTAGATAAATGATGTCCCTCAAACTTACAACTACAGAAACTGTATCAGTTATAGTCTCGTGACAGTTCCAAGATTTGACATACCCATTTGAAGAGGCAGGTGAGTCTAGGTAACATTGCTGAAAGGTCGGGGATACATAAAGCAAAATTGGTGTTGATACAGCAAATGTGTACTGATGACAAAATTTCAGTATTGAGACGTTTCTACTACATATTGACCTACTGTCGATATGACAGGGTTTATCAACCCAATCACTAGTGAAATCACTAACAACAGCTTGCTTTGAGGAAACATTGCATAGATGCGCAGCACACTGAAAACTAGAAGCTAGTTGTCAGGAGTAGATTACAGCCGTAGCGATGAAACGCACTTGCGGAACTCGTGAGAATCAATATATCACCCGACATCTCGAATTTGATGACAATGGCGCAGCTGAGTTGAGACGAACCATGAGAGACAAGACTCGCGTTTTTATTTACCGACCAACCTCTGCAGAATGATATTTAGGTCAACATAAGGCCAACAACGGAGGTAAGGCCGCGGCTACCTACATAGTTAGATTGCCAGCTGGGCCACGGAATATAGCCCAGCACAACGAAGACGCC